TATACATATATGTGTGTATGTGATTTTTTTTGCATAAAGAAATGAAGCTAATTCTTTTATTGTATAATTATTTGAATGACACTTTTTTATATTGATAGTTAATACTTTTAATAATCATCTTAATTAAATGCATAATACACACACACACACACACACACACATATATATATATATATATATATATGTGTGTGTGTGTGTGTGTGTGTGTGGTCACATATATATATATATATATATATATATATATGTATATATAAAATAGATTTTGGAGTGAAAGAGAGAGTGAAAGAGAGAGAAAGAGAGAGACGGACAGTTAGGGAGAGAGCACCCTTACATGAACCCTAACCTAAATTCACATCTGACACAGAAAGAAGGAGGGCGGTGGAGAATTTAGTAGAGAATTAAACCATAAAATGTGCATCTGAAAACACAGAAACACATCCTAGCAATCAGCTGAACCCTTACCATTTTCATACACACACACACACACACACACACTATCACATCAATCTGTGCTTTATTTACTCCCAGCACAAAAATCAATATATACCGTTCCCCTTGTTTTGTAAATGTGCTGTTTACATATGAATACAAGGATGCAGAGACAGCACAGATAAACATGTTAAAAACACAGCTAGCAGTTTCTATTTATGGCACTGCACATGGTGCCCTCTGGCACGAGCATCACTCACTAAATATCACGCGATCAGGCCTTTCACTACATTACACACACACACGCAGTCCCACAAACACACACGATTCTTTGTAAGCATCTTCTGTTAAAAGAAACAATAGTGAAGGCTGCCACATGCTCCTCAAAGCACAGATGGAACAACGGTAACTATGAAGAGACGGGTGTCAAAAGGAGAAATATGGGAGGGGGAAGGGGCGTATGGTGAGGGAGAGATGAAGGGAGAGATTGAGAGATGGAGGAAGGGAAAGGAGAGGTTCCCCAACCTGTATGGAAGACCACCGTGGTCTTCTTGCATCCCGGCAGTAGCTGGAGATTGCGGAATAGTCCTTTAGCCGTGAGCTTCACGTGGAAGTTTGATAGGGAAAGTCTCGGAGACCATAACATGACCTTCAACGTTTAAAAGGAGGAGAGGAAATCCTCCACAAAATATAGGGGGGGGGGAATCAAGAAATTTCTTGAAAAAAATTTAACAAAAAAATAAATAAATATTAAATTAAAATTCACTACATAAAAAAAATCTTATGGTCTCTGTCACATTCCAGTGTCCAAATAAGAGGCGGAGAAAAAAACAGTGAAAAAGAAGAAAAATTGGGGAAAGAATAATACTAAAATTTGCTATAGTCTCCAAATCTCTCCAAAAAATTCTAAAAAAAAAATGATACTGCTACAGAAACACCAAACTGACGATGAAGATTGGATTGGGAATGATGCGTAGTTCTTGTGGGAACGGCCACTCTGTTCAGCGGTATCCTCTTGGATGCTGAACCAGCCAGTGTCTCATATATTCTCCTCCTCTCTCTCTCTCTCTCTTGCAAATGTGCACACGCTAATCTTTTATGTGTGTTGCACATGCACACACACACACACAAACACGCACACTTGAAGCCAAGCTCTCTGTAGCTTCACACACACACACTCGTGCACTCAGAAGGGGGGATGGAGGGAGAAAGGCAATGTAAGAGGGAAGGGGAGGGAGTTTGCACAGAGCGGGGAGTAGGTGGTTTATGAGTAACGTCGTTCTCTCACTCCCTCTCTCTTGGCTACAGTATGGGTATGATTATGGTGTGAGGATGAAAGATGCTGCATTTGAAGATTATAGCTACTGATTTACAATTACACTGCAAAAATTTTTTTTTTTCGTAATCAGTATTTTCACTGATAAAATATTTAAACTTCCTTGAAACAAAATACATTTATTTGAGAAGCAAAACTGTGTATTTATTTTCACTCTCTCTCCTTTAATGGTTTTGAATGCAACAAAATTTGGTGAGGTTTTTGCTTAAAACAAGAAAAAACACCAACAAGGTAAGAATTGCCTCTTAATTCAAGACATATTTAAAATACAAGATACAAAAAAAAGGACGCTTAGATGACAGAATTTCACCAAATAATGAAAGCTAATGGAGTCCAATGTTGGTTTCCACTGACTTTCATTATATGGGCAATAATAATAATAATTATTATTATATAAATATATAATATTTATTTATTTTATAACTTTCATTATATGGGCAATAATAATAATAATAATAATATTAATAATTATATAAATACATAATATTTATTTATTTTATAATTTTCTTGTGTACAATAGAAGTAATAAAGTCATACAGACTTGAAATGACGTGGGTTAGAAAATGACGACAGAATTTTCATACAAAAAAAAGGACGCTTAGATGACAGAATTTCACCAAATAATGAAAGCTAATGGAGTCCAATGTTGGTTTCCACTGACTTTCATTATATGGGCAATAATAATAATAATAATAATATTAATAATTATATAAATACATAATATTTATTTATTTTATAATTTTCTTGTGTACAATAGAAGTAATAAAGTCATACAGACTTGAAATGACATGTGGGTTAGAAAATGACGACAGAATTTTCATCTGTTGGTGAAGATTTTTTTAACTAATTCATTTTAGTAAATATTTGAATACTGAAATCCTACATTCTCATTCAAAGACATTGGTCTTTTTTTTTTTTTTGTCATTTTTCTTATTTCATAGGCATAAAGTTCTTATTAGTCCCTAATCTTGCCTCATGTCATCATCTTCCTTTTTATTCTTCTTCTTTCCCTTTTTTTCGGGTGCCTTCTCTGAGATATCTATTTAACATTTATGTATCTTCCAAGCAGCAGGCTTCCTGAATGGATGCCTTTGTTGGATAAAGAAAAAGAAACAGAGAGAGAGAGAGAGAGAGAGAGAGAGAGAGAGAGAGAGAGAGAGAGAGAGAGAGAGAGAGAGAGAGAGAGAGAGAGAGAGAGAGAGAGAGAGAGAGAGAGAGAGAGAGAGAGAGAGAGAGAGAGAGAGAGAGAGAGAGAGAAACAAGTGCCTCAGAATACTGATGAGTGACATTGTTGAATAGAAAGAAGTCAAGCAGCACATGAACGGCTGTGTTCTGACACTATTGTGCTTCCCTATTCACCTCTAAAGGCCAACAGCTGCATAGCCAGAGCAACATAAATTAGCAACAGTCAAGGGGAGGAGCTGGCGCTTGTGGCTAAAATTCTGTTAAAGTCAAGTTGTTTTGTAAGTAAAACAAGACGGAAAGGCCAGAAATACCAAGAAACGTGCACTGCTTGGGTAAACTTGTTGTGAATGTGACTGGAATTTTTGCTTGAGGATGTCTGTGGCATTTCTGCAAAGAAACACTGCAGAGAAAGTCACACATAGTGCTACAAGGTTAAAAAAGGCGATGGACCTTTTTCACATTTCCGGGTTTCTCAGCAGCGGAAGTCGTCATAGTTGGGTTAACTTGAATAGCAGTGAATGGGAGAGCACCACAAATATATTTTTTGCATTCCCATTTGCTCAAATAGCAACAAAAAAAAAACTCCACGATAGTGTTTTCATGACTTTCAATAAAAGGAAAAAAATTGAGAGAGACTGATAACGGCAGTCAGAAGAGAGAACGATGTCAAATTTACCGTCCCTCCCATAGACGCTGCATTAGAAACACCCTCGCATTAGCTGTTTTTTTGTAATTTGATGCAAAGGTGATATAATACAAATAATAGTGTTATAAATGTACATACATTTTTTTAAAAATACAAATATGAAAAACTTTCGAGGATTTACGATGCTGATTACCGTTAAATGCGTCATCACAGTCTTGTGAAAAGGGTCCATGGGGTTATCTAGTACTCTATATATATATATACTGTATATACTCTATCTAATATATATATACTCTATCTAATGCTTTTGTTTTTTAATAAAAATAAATAAATATCACCTTTTGCTCATGAACCTGCCTTCCTTTAGCAGACAATAAATTATTCAAATCACATACATTAATATGAATAAATACATTTTTATGTTTTCTTCAGTGAATGTTTTCACCCTTTGTAATAGCTGTGTATAACTCCATTAGATGTCCTAAGTGTGAAAAGATGGATCTCAAAATCATAGTCACTGTTGTAAAGGGTTCAACTATGAAGAATATGCTGGAAAACCAAAGAATGTACAGGACCTGGAAGATTTTTCTGAAGAAGAGTAGGCAGTTAACTGCTCAGAACAAATAAGTGAGTCATGAACAACTCATGAAACTCATCACAAAAAAACAGCTGTGGATCATTCAGATCATCAACATCAACAAAGTAAAGTTCACTTACATTTTCCACAGTGAATGTTTAAAGGGATCTGTTCAATAAACATGAAATATTATAACTGTTTGTGTGCTTTTAGTGAAAGCACATTGTGCGTGTCAGTACTTGTGACTTTAATGGTGATCAGATGACATTTTATAACCAATTAACACAAAAAAACGACTAATCCCAATGGGTTCACATACTTTTTTGCCACTGTATCACATGTGTGTGAGAGAAATGCATGAGCACAGATACAGAGGAATCCACTGTTCAATCATTTTATAACTTTTATATCCTATGGCCATATTTATGTTTTGATTAACCACCAAACTGTCTATTTCTAAAATGTAGCACAGTGCATGAATTAAACCCACAATTAAACCTACTTCATAAAACACTTCAAAAGGCCACATACACACCACAAAGTTTTGGAAGTGAAACAGTGATGACTAAAAGTGATAGCAAGGATACAAACAGTTTAAGCTTTTGACAATGCAGCAGTGGTAGAGCGTATATGGATATGGACACAATTAAACCTACTTCACAAAACACTTCAAAAGGCCACATACACACCACAAAGTTTTGGAAGTGAAACAGTTATGACTAAAAGTGATAGCAAGGATACAAACAGTTTAAGCTTTTGACAATGCAGCAGTGGTAGAGCGTATATGGATATGGACACACACACTATGAAATTTTCTCTCTCCTTACCTGCTACTGATGATGAGCGAATGAGTCGTGCAGATCCACTGCGTTGCAAAGCATTCTGGTTGGTCTTAGCTGTCACGTGGCTGGTCACAGCTGGGGCCTTCAGCCCTAATGAAATAGTGCAGAAGAAATCAAACTTCATGTTAACAGACTGCGCAGTGGCAGGTTTCAGTGGCAGAGGCAGATGTACTGTAGAGGTTGTAGGTGCATGAGTGTATTTATGGCAACGGCTGGGAAAGAAACCTTAAAGGGGTCATATGATGCGATTTCAAGTTTTCCTT